TCTGGCAGTGACAGTGAATCCTCCCCGCAGTAAGCAACAGCTTGACCATCCTTCTTTGATGCTGAGAGGGAGAGAGACCAGCCACTGCCCCCACCCCTTTATTTGCCCAGTTCTCAGGGTATCTCTGCCCCTTGGAGAGAATCCCCCCCAGATGAGAGAAGTGCTACCAGATACCTGAGCTTGGCCACTTTGTTTTTCTTAAGTACCGATAAGTACACCATAGTTAATGTTTCTTAGCAACTTATGGCAAAAATTCTGTATGTAAGAAGGAACAAAAGAAAATGAACCTAACCCCCAACCAGATGCTCACGTCAAACAGGTGCTGCCTGAAGGAGAGAAAGGCCCCAAGTTCAGGGACACCAAGTCACTGAGGGCTCACAGTTCCACCATCCTGGGACACCTGGGCTCACTCTCCCGCTCCAGAGGCTTATGTGCACCCCTTGGTCTGCCCTGAGCCAAGCTCCACCCTGATACCCAAGGGAGGGCACTTCTGGAATGCTTTCTTTAGCTCCCCAGGGGATCATTGCCAATGTACAGAAGCCAATTAACCAAGATGAAATCCAGTGTTGGTTGTAGCCAGGCCTCATGCATGTCACACCAGAGGAGCCAAAAGGACTCCCAAAACAACTTCTCCCCCTTCCTTCTTTATTAAGGGCAAGTGGGTTCACAAATATTTGTATTTAGTTTGTGGTACTTACGTAAGGGTACTTTATCCCCTTTCACTTGCTATGTGTGCTGTGTGTGTTCTTGCCAAAATTGCTTCTATTTTGGTCTCTTCAGGATCCCTTGAACTCTTCCAAAGGTGGTCATGGGCTGCATGTGCCCTTTGCTAGTCAGAGTGGGTGTCCTGGTTTAGGGCAAATTGCCCCAACTGGTTTGGGAAAAGATTTCCTTGGAGAAAAGTGGAAAAAACCTGTTTATTTAATAAGCAAAGCACCAACAAACATAAAAAAATGAACAATACCAAACAATAAAACCTCTTGTTGTTCTGAAGTGATGGCAAATTCAGAAAGTCATTTTTGTGGGGTGTAGTTCAGCTCGCTGTGTGTCTCTCAGTCCTTCTGGCGCTGGAGTGCAGCGTCCCAGCTTCGGTGGGCCACAGGCATGAACTCCCGGTGTTCTTCTGAGATTTTGGTCCAAAGCAGTTTTGAACAGTTCCAAGAAAAGGAAAAACCACAGTCCATGGAACTTCTTTGCTTCAGCTAGCTAAAACTAACTAAAAGCAAAAGAGAGCTCTGTCCCCCATCTGTTCTGCAGCCAGCACAGGGGCAGCCAGTGCAGCTTCTGATAACAAACTCTGTGTGTCTTCTGCCACCGCCTTCACTCTCAGAACCAGCCTTAAAGGTGTAGAACTTCATACCCAGCTTCATAAACAGAACAGATCATTGGGGATACAAGCATCATAAAGTCACCCCAGGACATGGGGTAATGCAGAGATGTGCTAGTGAAAGCACTTGGGATGGGGACTCATGGCTGGGTTTGGTTTTTTATTAATTGCAGAATTGCCCGTTCCATATAAAACCAGCAAAGACTGAATTTTTTGTATTTCTAAACAATCCAGAGGACTTGTGTGGTGACCTAGGGCTTGGCTTTTCAGAAGTGCTGAGTTCCCATCTCCTGCGATGGGATCTCCTCTGATCCTTGGGGTGTCTTAACTGGGCTGACAGATTGAATAAAAAAATGCTATTAAGAGAAGCCTTCAGAAACCCCTGGGGCAGCAGGTCCTAGTGCCCCAGTAGGACTTTGAAAAGCAGCAGGCTGGGCCATCAGGAATGAGCAAAAATCCCAGGGTGGTGGAGGAGATCTACCATAAGATATTCTGGAGCTGTGGCTGGAACAACGGGATGTATGGGCAGGCAGGGGCTGCGGGGCTGCAGTGCAGTGAAAGCTCAGAGCAGTGCCAAAGAAGCAGCGAGGGTGGGACAGAGGAGCCCGGCTCCCAGCAGGGCAGAGAGGGGCAAGCTCAGGATCCTGGGCACCTGAGCAGATGGGGATAGGTCCTTCTTTTAGTGAGGTAAGTGTTAATAAGGTCCCACTTCAGTGACTGTCCTCACGAGCAGAGACTCACCCCATGGCAGAAGCAGCTCTGGGCTGGGCTCCAGCGGCAGCAGCAAATTCCCTTTCACAAGCAGCAGCTCCAACTGTTCTCCTCTGAAGCCAAAAAAAAAAAAAAAAAAACAACAGCCCCAGCCCTGCCCTTCACCTGCCCAATTCTCACAGTATCTCTCCCCTAGGAGAGAAACTCCCAGATAAGAGAAAGGCAACCAGATGCCCTTCTCCCCTGAGCTTGGCCACTTACTTTGTTTTTCTTAAGTACACAGTTGGTAATGTTTCCTAAAACTTATGCGAAAAGATTCTGTAAATAAAAAGGAACAAAAGCAAAGAAACCTATCCCCCAACACTGTCCTTCAAAATCTGTGTCACTGAAAGGGCAGGTTAAGTCCTACAGAGACCTCTGAGGCAGCAGAGGCCAGCACACTCTAGAATATATTTTTCAGCTTGGCTGCCACAAGCACAAGAATCTCTCCAATCATTTTCTGCCAGTTCTCTATGTCCTTGGAGACACCACACCAGAGCTCTCTGTGGTGAGATTCAGCATTCTCACAGCACTTCCTCACCTCTTTTTGTTGTTCCTTTGTGCCATGCTGGAGCTCAAATTTGTAAAAGAAGGCCCAGGCATCCCCCAGGTCAGAGTCTACCTTCACTGTGCAGTAGTACCACTCCCTGGCCTTGGTTATTTTATGCTCACTCGAGAACAGCTTGGCCACAGCCAGCAAGACATATGGGTCATGTTCACACTTCTTGAGAGCATCCACACTCCTGGTCCTTTGTTGCAGTCGCACTTCGAGGAAAATTGCTTCTGACCACAGGATTGGGGCACTCTTGCAGGGCCTTGGCCATCAGACTGTTGGCTACGTTCTTCAGCCCAGCTCGGTACTCCAAGTGCACAGACTCCAACCAGAGGTCTGGATTCTTTGGATTCCTCAGGTGAGACTTTTCCAAGACAGCTGTTGCACTAGTCAGATGCCCAACTTTCTCCTCCAGCCTGGACAGCAAAAGCCACAGGGGTATGGAAATGGGGGCACTTCTTCAACCCTTGATTATAAACCTCCTGTGCTTTCTCTACCAGCTCTTTTTGTTCTTCAATTTGTCCTTTCATCATCCACAGTTTGGGGAAGATGTCATAGTGCTTCAGGGCTTCCTCACAGCGCTCCTGGGCTGCAGCAATGTTCCCAAGCATCCATTCCAACTTCACAGAATTCATGAAGACCCTTGCTGTGGGGGCACTGCTGCGAGCCTTTGCCAGCAGCCTCCTCACTCTTTCATACTCACAGTTCTCCGACTCGAGCTTCACAGCAGCCAGTCAGATCTCCTCGCTGCTGGGGTTGGCCTGGAAGGCCAGGGCCAAGATGCTTCTGGCTGCTGGCACATCTCCTGCCAGCCACTTGGATTTGGCCCCCATGAGCCACAGCACCTCTGCTTTGGGACAGTGAGCAACAGCTCTGCAAATTCGCCTCCAAGGATCCCCTGGTTCCATGGTTCTTTTCAAAGTAGGCTGCTCGCAGCCACACACTCTTCTTGCTCAGGAAGACTTGCAAGGCATAGGCATAAATGGCTCAGGCACACTCCTGGGCATTATGAGCAACACAACTGTCTGCATCTTCCATCCAGATGTGTTTCTGATCTTCTTCGTGGACCCCAATCCCGATCACAGCTCTCATGATTGCCTGGCATGTGGCCACACTTCCAGCTTTATCACATTCCTTGGCATCCTGTATCCACCGCTCCCTGTTGATCTCCACACCATTAGCCCTAAGAGATGTGATGGCTCTGTCAATGATTTTCTCCACCATCTGGGTATTTCCATTGGCTTCTTCCAGTTTGGCAGCAGTAATCCAGATAGGACAATCCGTTGGGATATTCTCCCGGGCTTTGTTAAGGACTTCACGAGTGTTCTCATACGTCTCCAGCCTTGCCAGTGCCAGACACAGTTCAACACTGGTTGGACAGCACTCCACAGCCTGGCTCAGCACGATCCTGGCATCCTCAGGTTCCTCCAGCTCCACAGATGCTCTGCAAATGCGCTGAGTTTGGAACATGCTTGAGGGCTTTCCTAAGGACATGCTTCTTGGCATGGATAGCTGTCTCCAGCTCTGCTGCCCTGATATAGATCCGCACAGACCATGACAAGTGCTGCACAGCCCGTGCCACAACAGCCTTGGCTGTATCTCCTGGCTGAAGCCAAGCAGCTTCCAACCAAACATCTTCACTTTTGGGGCACATCTCTGCTCCTTTCATTATGAGGTTTCGAGCCACCTGGAGTTTGCCAGTGACCTCCTCCAGTGGGGCTGATGCTATCCAGGCTGGTGGATGATGAGGATTGGTCTCTCGGACAGATTTCAGGAGCAAATGGGCTTTTTTGATATCATCGATATCTCCTCCGTGTGTAGGAATCATGGAATTCAAGTCCGTCAGATATTCTTTTGGGTCCACTACAGTCTGGCCACTCTCAGAGTCTGACACCTGACTTAGCCTCATACCCATCAAGATGTTCCTGCCTTGGCCAATTTCCTCATATCCAATTCACCTGTCCCAGGTCTCATCAAGCCTGGCGTCATTCCTCCTGGGTACGGAGTATTCAAACCCCCTGGATATGGAGTATTCAGTCCACCAAATTGTGTCTGGCGTAGGTCCACGGAAGTGTGACTCACCCCTGACTGCAAATGCTTTGCAAAGAAGCTGTTGGGGACAGGAGTCAACTTCTCATAACAAGGATTCCTCTGCATCCCCAACCTTGGGAATACTCAGCCACTCCTCCTCAGTGACTTCCACTAATTTCTGTTTCAAGTCTGAGAACTGCTGTTGTATTTTGGGTCGTTCCATATGGTACTTTTCTATTTCCTATTTTTCTCGTTGTTCCCTCCTTTCTTTCCTGTGTTCATCCATCCTCTTATCCAAAGCTGCGTAAACAGCATCTGCTTCATCATCTTTTTCGTAGGGGACGCTTGAGAACAGGCTCCCAGCATAGCCATTGAACTCATTGTAGTTGGTGTCATTCAAATCCCCATCATCATCATCTGCTGTCCTCTGGTTCTTCTCCATCTGCTCTCCCTGAGTTCTCTTGCTCAGTGGGGCGTGCCAGTCACCCACGGGGTCGTTGGCATCACGGGCAGGCCAATATCAGAGCGGGTGGTGAAACCCGTGGCTCCATGGCCCAGACCTGACAGGTAGCCCAGGGGCGCGGGCATGCCCAGGAATGGCTTCCTCTTGTTGTCCATGACGGTGGTGGTGAGGCGGGATGGAAGGCAGACCAGAGCAGAGCTGGGAGAGGTAGCCAGGAAAGTGGCAGCAGAAGCAGCAGCAAGAGCTAACTCCCTTCTCCAAACAGCAACTCCGACCACCCTCTAAAGCCCCGAGCCAGCAGCTGCCCCAGCCTCACCCTTTACCTGCCCAATCTCTGCCCCTCAAAGAGAAACTTCCAGATAACAGATGTGCAACCAGATGCTCTCCTCCCCTAAACCTGGCCAAGTCTTTTGTTCTCCTTAAGTACCCTGTTCTTCTGAAGAACCCAGTCCTTAATGTTTCCTAGGAACTTATGTGGAAAAAATTCTGTAAGTAAAAATGAACAAAAGGAAAGAAACCAAATCCCCTGTGATCGTTTGAAAGCAAACCAGTGGGAGACCCCAAGTCAGAACCACAATTTACTAGGAAAATTAAAATAGAACGCAGGAGTACAAAAGCACTGACAGTGTCAGAATACAACCTGACACCCTGTGGGTCAGGGTGTTAGTAGCAGTCCAATTGGAATGGTGGCTGCAATCCTCCTGGAGTGACAGATGTGGTTCTGTTCAAGCAGTGATCTTGTGTTTTCCTCTGAAGGTCCAGTAGTGGTGTAGCTTGGTCTTACTCTGGGAATCCAGTGGAAAAGGCTGCTTGTAGTGATCCAAATATCAGATTATATCCAGGCAGGAATGCTTGGCTCCTCCCCCTGGGTGGAGCATCTCACAGTGGGAGGATGTGATTTTCTCAGTCACGCCCTAAGGCTCAATGGGCCATTAACAGAACATACCCCTGGAGGGGGAATGGGTCTTGGAAGAGATAAAGAACACTGCCCCACCTGGTTTTAACAGTTGGTTACAGCATAGACACTTTTGGTTACATCTTGCATTGCAACCTGAGACACCCCCAACAGCTGGGTTTTTCCCCTGACAAATCTTGATAAATGATATGTAGGGAACAGTCCCTTTTACTTTAAAACTGATGAGATTGTAGCATTTTCTGATGCTTAGTTACTGCTGTTTACACGGTATATTGCTAGAATTTCAGATAGTTTCTATGAAATGTAAGTACAGTTATGCACTTTAGAGAGTTTATATTTTTGAACTTTGAAAACTAAAAGTAACAAAACCTATTAGAAGAGATTGTACATTAAAAGAAAAAAACAAAACGCGCCTAGCCATCTCTCCTTATGAACTGTTCAAGTCCTTTCCTGTGGTAAAAACAAAGCAAAACTTCAGCTGCCTCCTGGTGAAGGGAACTGCTAGAAAAAGTTATCAGAAATAAGTGAAGTTTGGAATTCCAATCCTGGAAATACACGTACCAGTGCTGAACTTTGTTCTGGCTTTGCAGATGCTGTGACTCCCCTCCCAAACCTGCACAGGAGGAGGACTCCTGAACACTAAAACATTGTCTTTATCTCACACAGATGATTTAACTTCCCACTGACCACAAATAGCCAGAAATTATGTTTGCCCCGGCACACCAGGTCAATATAAGCAAGAGCTGTGTGTTTTGTTTGATGATTTGCCTGTGCCAACATCAGTGATTACTGACTGGAGAACATTAAACACAAGACTGTGTTTTTTAAAAGGTGCGAAATACTGTACAAAATTGTACTTTATGAGATATAAATAAGCTGTTTAGTGTAAGACACCTCTTTCCATGTCACTAGAACAAAGCTGTCTGCTCGAGGATGGCAGTAGGGTCTGTTGGGCTTCCCATCCACGGGGGCAGCCTTGGACATGTGTCTGTTACCACATTGTGGTATAATAAATCATTCAAATGTAAATGCTGGCCATGAATGAGTCATGCACCAAATAAGATTGCAGGAGTGAAAGATAGAGGGAAAACCTGTCATTCTAACAAGCTGCATTTGGTTCTGTTTACTCCTGAATAAACAGTTGAATAATGGACGTTTCTGTTATGGGCAGTGAAATTAAAGCATTTTTCTTTTAATCGTTCTGCTGATACACTGGTTGTTATTTTTGGTGTGTGCAAGTTTCAGAGGGCAAGTGCTGCCAGCCATCCTCCTGCCTGAGGAGCTGTCTTTGGAGCTGTTTGCAAGTCAGTGATTGACTGCTGCTGCCCAGGTGAGAACTGGGCAACCAGACCAAAACTGTTACAGGTTGAGTAAAAAAAAAAATGTCTGCAGGGAGAAGTACAAAATGAAATGTCAGGAGAAGCACAAAGTAAATGGGACAGAGTGAGCCTGGTGTAGCACAATTAAGCAGGATTTCTTGGGCTCCTCCTGTTTCTCCCTCAGGTGTTCACCAGGGTTTTGGTGCCTTTGACTGCCACAGCATGTGGTATCAGAGGCCCTTTGCTTGGGGTGGAAGACACAGGAATTGGCTATGAGAGTCCAAATTGGACACCTCACAACATACCCCCACTGCATGTCTTGGTACTCTACATTTAGAAGATTCATGGAAAAAGTCCTTGCCCTTGGAGATTGGAGTGGATTGACATCTCCAGCTCTTGGAGAGGGCAGTCAAGTTTTACCAACCTGCATGGTCACTCTCAGCATGGAGAGTGGAACACTTGCTGGACCTTGTATGGTCAGCAAGTGTATGATCCTTGTGCTTCCCTTTGGACACCTGCATGCAGGGAGCCAGCTCCTAGAGTAACAGATATCAAACACCACATAATTTTGCCAAATAACTTGGTATACAGCAAATACTGGGGTTGGCTGAGTGCAGAAGCCAGTACCAGGGTAGATGTGGGGGCCTGACTGAAAAAAAATTGTTAATAATGCCTTTTCTTCAGACTGCATTTGGTGTACAAAAGCAACTTTGGAATGCATTCCCCAGCTAATGACATCTCAGTGACTCTAGGCTCGGTTGTGTTTACATGATTTATGTAAAAGCAACTTCAAACTGAATCAATCGTGTCCTTTTAAACATAAATAGACTGAAAAACATTATGTGTACGCTTTGTGTTTTGTATAAAACAAGAAAATACAACTATTTTGACTGCAGGAGTTTGGTGACAGCTTCTGTTCTGTGTGGGATGCTGCCAACAATGGCTCAGCCCAATAAAGTAGCTCATAAAGTCCTAAACAGCCCTGGCCCCTTCTGCCTTCTCCTCCTCAGCTGAACAGGGCTGACACTTGGTACTGGAAAAGAGATATCTGATATATAAATATACACACATTTTGCATTTATATAATATATAAAACATATGCACACTTACCTCTGTGTTATCTACAATAATGCAACCCACTATATACAAAACATAGACTATACACACTAGATACAACAGTAGCTAGACCTTAAACAATAACACAGGTCACACAGTAATGAGCACGCATTGCACTTTATGTAAGAGGATTTGTGCAGACTCCTGTGTCTACACATGATCCATCCACCTAAACAAATAAATATGTGCAATATATGTGCCTAACCACATATGCATTGATGGAATGACTGAAGGCTGGTTCCAAGTCCAAGCTCTTCCTTGGAGGACTTCCCTTTGTCTGAGACAGGACACGGGGAGAGGCTGCTGTGCTGTTGGCTGGAGCAGCCTCTCCTTTGCTCCCTGACAGGGAAAGGCAGCCACTCCATCAGAATTAAACATCAAATTTATTGCATAATACTGTACTATGTACACACACATCGAAAATAAACATTTTATATAATTGTATATTTGTCTTCAATGCTGCATTACAAAGAGGCTGGGGGCTCTCAATGTAGCCCACAGCTCGTCTTTAAAAAAAAGAACAATCCAGAAGCCTAAAACCTTTTGTTACGAGGTGCAAAGTTCAATACTGTAAATTGAACATGGTGCATAAATACTATGTCCTAATAACAAGTCAATGTCAAAACCACCCTAGGCTTAAAATGAGATTTACATCAAGATCTGAAAAATGGCATGGGAGAAAGGAGAAAAATCGTTCAAACTTCACTTAATAGGGCAGTGAGACTGAGGAAAAGAGGACAAAAGCTCTCCAATCATACAGGATAGATTTAGGTAGAGATTTTTCTACATTTTCAGTCTAATTCACACAGATTGTCCTTCAGGCCCCCTGGCAAAACAGCTGCCAAGCGAGAGGGCTGTTCTCAAACAGCGAAGTAATAAACCTACCTGCAAAGATGAAACCAATCTCCAGACAAGGGGCTACCCCTCAAATGGGGATCTCCTACTCCTTTCATTGACCTGACCTGATGAGACTGGAGAGATTGCACACACCTTCCACACTCACACACCCCTGCACTCACACATCCACACACACAGCTCCTCTGGACAAAGGTGGCAGCAGTAAAAGCAGCCATCTCACCTGGCATTGGAGTAGCAGGGCTGTTGGGATGGAAAAAGAGGGCAGGCCACCCACCCAGGCTGCAGACTTGCCAGGACAGAAACACAACACGAGGGAGGCATTTAAAGAAACCTGCTGTGATAGGCAGGGTTTGTCCTTCCACAAGCCTGAACACAAACCCCACTCCAGAGGGATTCTGAGGCTTCTTTGAGGAGCCTGAAAACAAATTTCACAGCAAGTGAGAAAGAACAAGCCAACCTCTGTAAACTACCATATTTTCCATGAGACATCCTGGTGCAAACAGATGGAACATCACTAATGCACCGCTCTGGAGTCACAAATGACATCCCAGCCCAGTACCATCCACCAAGGACTGAAGGGCAGAGGAGATATTTCCATTCAAAGCAAGCAAGAACCAGCTTGCATTTAAAAAGGGAGGGAAAAAGGGTGGGGGGGAAATCACAGCTTTTCAAAGAGAAGATCGCTATTTCATCCTGTTTCCACCATACCCTAAATGCAAAGGACATCAAAATGTTTAAACTGAACTAAAAGAAGAGGTAAGAGTGTTTGTGTATGAGGGCAACAAAAGCAAACTACAAGGAATTGCCAGGAGAGCAGTGATGTCAAGTTGGAGGGGAAACAACAGAAATGCCCACTGAACTCATTTGGTTCAGTAGATGAAAAAATTCAAAAGCAAGAGCCTCTCCCTGCTGGCAGCATCAGGCTGAGACTGCATCATCTCTATTATTATTACTTATATTTACCCACCCCTCCAAAAAAAAAAAAAAGAAAAAAAAAAATAAAAGAGAAGTAGTTCAGATCTATTCCCTTACAAAAATAAATCCCAAGCCCATCGTTCTGCTGCTCAGCACCCAGGAGTCTGTGCCGGCCCCGCGGGGGGTCAGGCCAAGCTGAAGCCCTCGTAGTGGTCGATGGCCTGCACCAGGCGGGCACTGAGGATCTCCTTGCTGCTGTACTTGGGCAGGTCCAGCAGGTTGTAGCAGGTGTGGGCCACGGGCAGGTACTGCTCCCCGCTGGGCGTCGACTGGATGATGATGCGCAGGCTGGACATGCCATAGATGGGGATGCGGTCGCTGCCCGTCAGGAACACTGCAGAGGCACAAGGGAGGCCGGGCAGCTGGGACAGCTGAGGGACCTCCCATGGGGGCTGCACCCACAGCAAAGTTCAGCCCCACCTGCCTGAAAAAGCTGAAACCCTGACTGGACTCCCAGGGGAGCTGCAGCACAGCATGGCCAGTGCCAGGTATGAGCACTGGAGTTTATCCTTCTTATCTTATCCTTTATCTGTCACAGAATCTGAGTGGCTGAGGTTGAAGGGACCTCTGGAGATCCTTGGGTCCAATCCCATGCTCAAGCAGGACCACCTAGAGCCAGCTAGATGGCCAGGAGAGAAGTGAAAAAGCCACAATAGAGGGAAGTCCCAGCCCTGACTAGCTGATATTGTCACTCATGCCAGATCACCCAACTCAACGCAATGAAGCTCTGCAGCCACTCCCACCCAAGCCTTCCAATTCCAGGAGATGCTGCATCACTGCAAGATACTTACAGAGAAATTTCTTCTTCTTTTCCAAGGGAAATTCATGGAAGGTCTCCCAGAACATTCTCACAGTTGGGTGTGTGGCCGTGTAGTCTCCCTTATAGACAGCGCTCTATTAAAACCAAAATACCACATTTTCAGCTGGCACCAGAGAGCAAAGACTAAGCAGAACCCAGACCTGTTCTTTTCTAGTATCTGACATCAGATCTGTGCCTGATAGCTTTGAAAGGGAACACAGGATGGGTGATGGGCAATGGCATGGCTCAAAGACGTGGCAAGGGCTCTCTGGCAATGTGAGGAAGGCAGACATTAGCCTTCTGCTT